TGGTGAACCCCTTTTGGATGTTCCTCACTTGTTTGGCTATTCTAGTTTTAGGTTTCCTATACTTAAAGTTAAGTTAAGTTTCATTTATATATTTCATGTATAGCTGCTTCCTAGTACTTGCGAGCACCATAAGCACTGCACTGGAACACCATAACCACCGTAAAACCCACAAACTGACGCAGCTTGGTTGGGGGTCTCGCTGTCCTCCACCCACCCTGGACCCAAGACCAGGATCTAGCTTCCAGTGGGTAGACCTCTCCTAGTCCAGAGAACGAAGCAGGCTACTCTTATAAGAGCAAGTGTTGTGCTCCAACTGAGTATAGTGATTATAGCAATCCCCAGAGTGTGAATATAACACTCCAATCCCCCAAACATGAGCCTAGAGTTCATGAAGGGTAAAACAAATTTGTTTAATGGTAGCCACAACTGGCCTTTTATGACAGTCCCTATGCAAGGGGCACTGCCCCCTGGACCTGAGAGTAAACCACAGTAGAAACAAATACACAATCACATTGGATCTCAGGTCCAGGACACTCCCATACAAAATAGGTAAATTCCTCCCCTATGCCTGGGAGATAATTGAGTCAAGCACCGTATTAAACTCAATTATCTCCAGGCATAAAAAAACAAATTTTTACAAACCCCCAAAAAGCTACATCCCCTGATAGCCCTAATCTTGGTGACCAACATATCCAAATATCACCCAGATCAGTTCAGGGGTTCAGTAATTTAATTGAAGTCTTATTTTTGACCGAACGCTCGCATGGTCCCATGCCCAAAGCAGTTCCAAAGAATCAGGGCCTGTGGTTGGTCCAGTTCGGTAGTTTGGAAAATGAACAAACTACCAAACATAGTCAATGTTCTTACCGTGGAGCTTGTTCCCCTCATCCAGATGAACAATTTCACCGAACAGTGCCCTTTTAAATTGAATAGAACCGAATGCAGGCGATGATGGATGTCCAGCGGTGTTTGTGAGTTTCTGTGTCCAATTTTAGTTCCATGAGATTCATGCCCAAACACCGCTGCCTGCGTTCATGCGAACAAGATGGCCGCTACCTCATGGTTATCCATAGGAATTGTGGCCACCCAGACAAACAATTAGAACACTGCGGTGAGAACCATTTCAAGGTGTTAATAGGTGTTAACATGCTCCCAGGTGGTCCCTTGTTTGTGCGGTTGTTCGGTAGTCAGACGGGGGCAATGTTAGAATAGCAGGGGAATGCAATCTACTGAACAGAATAGCAAAAAGGCACGAACAAGGTCTTTTATGAGCCTTTTTGCATGGCCTATAGTGCTGAGGCAGGAGGCTGGCATATAAGCCCCTCCAAGAACACATGATGAGGCTCAGTTCGTCGCACACTCCCTTACTTGAAAAATTTGGTTTTCAAACATAAAATTTGAGAAAAAAATGTCTTCGTACCCGAACAAAAGTTGGTATTAGAACAAAATCATACAGCATTAAACTCGTTGGTACCTCTTTGGAACCTCGTTGGTATGACACATCGACCTACTAGCACTGGACAAAGCAAACAGAGCTCCATTCTGTCAGCAAACAGAGCTGACAAGTAAAGTGAAGTTACATTTTCATATCATTTGCATTGTGTTTATTGTTTTTATGTATGATTTTATGCATGTAAGGTATTATTAAACTGTAAAATTTGTGTTAAATGTTGTGATTTTGGGGGTCTGGAACAGATTCATTTCGATTCGGTTTTCGAGCAAATCAGTTCTTAAACAGCCTTCTGGAACGGATTAAGTTTGAGTTCCGAGGTTCCACTGTGTATATATATGATATATAGTGATGTCGCGAACCCGAAATTTTCGGTTCGCGAACGGCGAACGCGAACTTCCTTAAATAAACAGAAACTCAAGCACCACCAAATGCCACCACTTCCAATGGGGGAGTAAGGAATTTAAAACACACAGGACTCTTTCTGGCCACAATAGGGATGGAAAAGTTGTTTCAAGGGGACTAACACTGAATGTGGCATGTCGGAGGGGGATCCAAGTGGCAAAACTCCCATGGAAAATTACACAGTTGATACAGAGTCTGGTTTTAATCCATAAAGGCAGAAATCACCTAACATTCCTAAATCACAATCAATATGGATTGACACCTGACATATGACATATTGACACCTTGACATATGGATTGACACCTGTCCTCAGAGCCCCTGATGCACTTCTGGACACAGAGCAGAATAGAGACTGGTCCCCCTACAGGGTCACTTGGCAGATATGGATTGACACCTGTCCTAAGGATCCCTGATACACACTGACACAGAGCAGAATAGGGCCTGTTCCCCCTACATCGGGTCACTTGGCAGATATGGATTGACACCTGTCCTAAGGTCCCCTGATACACACTGACACAGAGCAGAATAGGGACTGGTCCCCCTACATCGGGTCACTTGGCAGATATGGATTGACACCTTGTTACAACTGCTATTTGTAACGGGCCCTTTAAATGGCAAATTGCCCTGTTTCCCTGGGTTGTGGAGAAGCCTCTTTGCCAGCCTCCTCCCGCATGACTATGGCCCCGGGGAGATTGTGAAAATGTATGCACTTTTATTTGGTGTGTATGGCCCTTTAAGACTGTCGGTGGGCATATTGGGGCTTATGGACTCTTTATGTGACTGGTGCTGGCCCTTTAAACACCTTGGGACATCAGGAAGATTGGGACACTGCCCCTTTAAGGCCGTGTCCCCAGACTTGTTGGGGACACGGCCCCTTTAAGACGGTGTCCCCTGTGTCCCCAGACCAGTGCAAACCCTTTGTGCCTGCCTTGCTATTTCCCACTTGGTTCAGTAAATGAAATTATTTAAAGTTGCAGGTGAGACTCAAGTCCCATTCGCGATGGACTTGTGGGGTCTTTTCTGTGTCAGCTTTTTTCAGCCTTATTTCGTTGCAGAGACCAAGTCCCATCATGATGAGATTCTAGTCGTTTTTTCAGCCTGAAATAGACCGACCTTACAGCCCAAATCTATGGAACTGTTTTGGGCAGGAAATGTGCTTGCAGTCGGTCATAAAGGGACCTCCAGCTAACTTTTTAACCCCTGGATGGATTTGGCTGATTTTTGGTTATGTTTATGTTTTAAGTGTGCTGATTCCAAATATGTAATTATGAAGATGGGATGTGTAGTTTTAAAGTTACAGGGTATGGCTAAAAACTGTATTTTTACTGCCTGTGTTTAATTATGCTAATCTCTTCCCAAACGTCATTTCGTTCAAAGTGGAGAGAATGTTAAAAAAAAATATTTTTGTTCTGAGTGTGAGAAATGCTTTTCAGCCGCTTCTAATCTTAAGCATCATTTGAGGAGCCACACAGGAGAGAAACCTTATTTGTGGTGTGTTTAGTATTGTTCTGATCAGTTTAATACCTTCCGCGTCTCCTATCAGTGGACGTGTATATGGCAGCCATTTTAGGAACCGTACACCTGGGACCCAAGCAAGGTCACCTCGTTCAACAGGCTTGCAGCGTATCCTCCAGGAAGAAGAGCCTGAACCCTTACCGGCTGCACGTGTCTTACCTGTACATGGAAAGCTGCTGTGGTTCCTTGATGAGCCAGCTGCCCGTGAGTTAACATGTCCCGTGGAGAAGCACTCTGTCCTGTAAAGCCCCACCAAAAAAAAGGAGTGGTGTGTTTAGTATTGTTCTGATCAGTTTAATACCTTCCGCGTCTCCTATCAGTGGACGTGTACACGGCATTGATTTTTGTAACAGGGAGATGGAAGAAGAGGCTTGGTCGGTCC